AAAGAGGCGTGTCAGATTTCTAATCATACTGCCACCTCTGGCCGAAACACAAAACTGCGGCACTCTTCTGTTCCTTCTTGCAGCTCGATTTCATACTTGACAAGGTTTATTTTTTTTTATTTTTATTTTTTTTTTTTTACTTTCTTCCCCTTACATGGTAATATCATCGGTGTCTGAGTTGAGTTACATGCAGGTTGCTTCTGAGTATCAACCAAATCTATTAATCTATATAACGCTTCGATTTTTTGCTAGATTGGATCCATTTAACACACTTGACATCACTTGCGGAGAAACACTTGACATCACTTTCTGAATCAAAGTACATTCAGGGAAAATAGACTAAACTTCTGAGGTGTCAGTCTCCTCATCCAATTATGTTTGTTGTAAATGGTGAAACAAAAAGGCTACTGTAAAGATATTTGTTAATATAAACTTACTAAATGTCCAATTAATAAATATCCAAAGCTCCTGGAACCTAAGGTAAAGATAAATACTGAGCACAAAAAGAGAACCATGTGCCTTCTTATGTTTCCAACTCTCGGCTGACTTTAGGATCATAGAGAAGATCACAGCATGGCTGAATTTGATGTCTCTTTTACTACAGTGCTCATTGAGTTATAGCGAATGGTGTATCTCAACCTTCCCTGTTCTTTTGTAACTGAATAAACAATAAACCAGCAGTAGTCCTCTCTATATGTTCAATGTCGGTGTTTTATATCAAAGATAAAATGATGCCGTACTTGGTGACGGAAAGGTATTTATTGTTCACAGTGATAGGACTGTAAGTACATCTTATCATCACAGTTCTTTTGGAGCAGAGACCGTTTCTCTTCACCTTGGTGTATCCAACACTTGGCCACAAGTTCATCTCAAATCATAGCTGGTTTAGAAATATTTCCATGAGCATCTTCAGTTTTATTTCCCTCCTTTTTTCTTCGTCTGTCACTCATTCAGAAGCTTTGCCTTCATGGAAAAGCTGAATTTGTTGTCCTGGCGCATCCTGCTCCTGTGCTGTTGTGAAGCTCTGCTCCAATGGGCTTTACTTTGTCATGTTATCGTCCTGTTTTACATCATCCGTTGCCATCTTGTTTTCCTTTACACTTGAAGGCTTGGCCACTTGTAAATATCTGGAAAGAGTTTTAGTGAGAAAACCAATAAGAGTAGCATAAAAACCAGCATTCTTGAATTAATTTCAACCCAGACCTGTCAATTTTAGTTTCTACTTGGACACAAAGTTCTCCAGGTCTTATTGTATAATGTTGCAGATTCAGATTCTTTATGCAACAATGTTGCTGGTGAAGGTTCCTAGTCATCCAGGTCATAGTCATTCCAGAAAAAGAAAATTAAAAACAATCCGCTGGACTTAGTTTCCAAGTTTGAAGATGTTTCGCTTCCCATTCAGGAGGCTTTTTCAATTCAAAATGTCATAAATAGCGTTGAGGTGCTTTATACAGTAGTCCAACAAAGTCTTGTGTTTGTTTAGAAAACATGCAAATTAAAAAGGACGATCGGGTCCATCCCTTTAGAATGGGAGTCTTTGGTGCCTTTTGTTAGCCTGCAATGTCCCATACCTGTCTATGTCTCTGTTGTTTGGGAGGAGTGTGAAGGAAGCCATCTATGTTAAGAAAGAAAAACCAATCTTAAACAGAGGGGGTGGATTCAGATTTCAGCTTTTAAAATCCCTTTCCTCTATCAACACAACCCCAACCCCTTTACAGGGGAGCAGAAGACCTCGTCTATTCAGGTAGACCAACAATTCCCTTTAATGACCCCCCTTTCAGGGACATAGACAGGTATGGGGCATTGCAGACTAAGAAAGGAAGCCAAAAAAAACCCATTCCAAAGGTTTGGACCCGTTTGTCTGTTTCAGTTTGCATGTTTTCCAAAGGAAAACAAGTCTTTGTTGGCCTACGGTATAAAGCCTCAAACTCAACGCTATTTCTGAAATTTTGAATCTAAAAAGCTTCCTGGATAGAAACATCTTCAAACTTGGAGACAAAGCCCAGTGGATTGTTGTTGGGTTTTTTTTTTTTTTACTTTTTTGGAATTTAAGCTATATTTTAACAAATACAAAGATTGAGACTTTGGATTTTTACTTCAAGATCTCAATTCCAGTTGGCTAACCTGATCTGAGAACAACTTATATTGGGTCTTTCTTTTCTTCTGAGCCTTTGATAGAATCACTGTTGGATGCCTGGTATTATTCTGATTTTTTCTCTTACTGTTTTACTTTTTAGAGACTCCATGGGTCTCATTTATAAAGCTTCTGTATGCATAAAATGGGTCCTGTTATTTGTGTATGCCAACAACCATGCAAAGGCTACGATTTGTATGAATCCCTCATGCCAACTCTGCTAAATAAATGAGACCCCTGGTGATTTCCAACAAGTGAAGATGACACAAAGTATTCTTGACAGTTTTTAAATAAACAATGAGTAAACGAAGAACATTATATAGGTACACACTTTTGAGATCTACAAAAGAACAGCGCCAGTAACTGAGCAGCTGGTTTGGAAAAGAGAATATTGATGCTAAAGCATGAATGAAATACAGACTGTCCAATGCATCAGGCTAGCAGGATCTGGCTTTGAAAAAAATCTTTGTCTTCATACAGTTGTGCAAAAGGACTCACCAACCTTCTTAATTGTAAATATTGAAAATAACATAAGGAGGGCAGGTCTTAACAACAGCTTTTAAAAGACCAACTTGTCACATACAATAAATAAACCGAATCAGTGTCTAAGATGGTTTGTTAACCCCATGGTTTAACAGCAGACCAAGCAGTGGTTGAAGAAATATGAGTTTAGCCTTATAATATATCTTTAATTCATTCAAGTCTTTATGCATCACCATCACAGCAATTCAGATGGGTTTTAAACTGGATGTTGACTGGAAAGAACTTGAGTGTTATTTTTTTACTACCACTAGGAAACATCCAGCTTCCTTTTCCTACTTCCTTCCTTAGTGCCAGCAGTATTTGGACAGTACTTGTCATGTAAACTGTTGCCGCTCTTCCACTTTGGCCTAAGAGTCCCTACATATTCAGATAGAATAATAGATTGCAAGGCCCTCAGATGTATGTAGATTATGGTTTTAAAGTACAGCCAAGTGATCAACCCTCCTCCTTCCTGCTACATTGTTGATGTTAGGTGCTGTGATGTACTGGATCTCTCAAAAAGTTCCCAACCTTGGTCCCATGTGTCCTAAATTCCTTTGGTAGTCCTGCTATTCCTAGCAACTTTGCAAACCTAAGTCATGCTACCACATTGCTCTGAGAGATGAGAATCTGTTCTAAATAAAACAAAATTTCCATCTCTTCTATTGTCCTGTCATATATTTAATGTAATGTTCACCTGCTCTCCTGACTGTTACTATTGTAACAACTGTTTACATGCATCTTGCACTACTAACTTTGACTGCATATTGA